GTTCATCGGAATCATTGGAGACCATAATTTTAAAATTCGATTCGTTAAACGTATGTAAAGGCATTACAAACATTAATAGCTCTCCAACAGAACATGGACATAAAATTATCAAAGATAACTGTGGAAAGTACAGACATAAACTTTGTCCTGTTATTCTCCATGAAACCTGTCTCAGAGGGTGTTATTTTTGTTCAAATGTAAAAAAGAGTTTACGGAAAAGACCAACACTGCCATTGTTACGAAATCTATGCAACAAATTAAAGTTTCGAAATAAAAGACAGCAGTCCCGGTTGAAAGAACTAGCGAAAACTATGACCGCTTATAAGAAAAAAGCCGAAAGTCCCTTGGTTTTGAAAACCATTCATGAGAACACCAAGTTAACATTAGAGGAAAAAACCACTTTGGAGGAACTTATTAAAGCCTCGAAAGTAAAAAACAGTAAAGGTCGGCGATATTCGCAACATTGGTTGCTCCTGTGTTTACTTATGCATATAAGATCTCCGGGTGGTTACAAATTCATTAGAAATATGAATATTTTACCTCTACCCACACCGAAAACAATAAGAAGCTATCTGCGGTTAGTCGATACGAAATGTGGCTTTGATAAAAACTTTTTTCAGTTATTAAAAAAGAAACTGGAAAAAAAGAGACCATTTCAAAGGCATGCTGTACTTTTGTTTGACGAAATGCAGGTGCGAGAAAGCGTGGAAGTAGAATCTCGAAACCTAACGTACATTGGACTAGCCGATTTCGGAGACGATGAACACAAAAAAAAAGCTACAACTATTAATGAAAAGGCCTCACACGCTTTAGTATTTATGATCCAGGCTATTGGGGATAGTTACACCCAACCTATTGGTGTGTTTGCCTCCAAAGGACCTGTTGATGGTATGTTAGATCATGTTTAGAAGATTTTGAAATAAAGCGATAAACTTCACCCCATAAACATTACATTTTTTTGTTATTGTTATATCCTTAGCGAATTGCCACAACCACAAATTAACTTAATACAATACTTGATGGAATTTCATTAATTTCATTATAGGCATTAGAATTTTTGGAAAATAGTGGCACAAAGAACCAACACACTGTAAATTACATATCGTTAGACTAGGAGCAAAACTGGAACCATTATAAGTTGTTGTTATAAAAAAGTATTCTTTCAGGATGTCCCAGTAAAAACTGCTGACAGTAATATTTTTGTAATACAGTACCTAACTTACTGAAAAAAATTAAGAGTGTTGATTTGGTAAATAAAAGTGTTCATAGAACTGGAAAGCGAACGTGTAATTACTCGGAAACTTATGTTCCACGGGGTAGCGATTGTGAAGCTGCCCCCACCAATATATTGTTTTCAGTGAAAGCAATTATCTTACAATCAATAACTTGGTGTCTTGATTTCTTCTCTCATATGATATTAAATTTAACGCCTTATTTCAAAATCATCAATTATAATAATCAATCAATTTTTAACAAATTTTAATTTGTTGTAAGGAACCACTATTGCCTAGTTGGTCATAAAGGCAATTATTTTGCTTGAAAAAGCGGGAGTATATATTCATGGACTTGTTTGTGATGCAGCGCAAACAAACAGAAAAGCCTGGTCAGTTGTAGGTGTTAATGGGAATCAAGTTTCGTTCAGAAACTCTTTTGAACATCCTCTGACCCCAGAAAGAAAGTGTTTGTCTTTTCTGATACACCTCATTTGATAAAACTATCAGAAATAGGCTGTTCAATAATGGCGCTCTGAGAGTAATTTGGGTAAAAGCATATAACATCTACTAGGTTGCTATATATTTTTTCTTCAGATAAGTCCAGAAGATGACAGCATTAAATGGGACCATTTCTGCGTAATGCACGAAGAGGAGTTGAAACTGCCCGCAAACTTACGTGCATGTCCAAAAATTACTAATAACCACGTTAATTTATCAAACACGGGAAAGATGCGGGTTAAATTAGCAACACAGGTATAAATTATAAACACACATCACAATTTTCAAGAGATACCTACATATTTTTTTTTCATGATACCTAACTAAACCATATTCATCAGAGTCAAAATATCTGTTTTTCAGAATTTATTTCTTTTTTCTGTTGTATATGCAGTCATCATGTAATTAACTAGATATGCAATTTAAAACTTTAGAAATTGAACTGGATGACTCACATTCAGTTTGGCTTTTGTTTCAAAAGAGTTAAACAAACAACATTGTGTAATAGACATTGTATGTGTAATTTTCGGCGTATTTATAAATTCATTACCGAATACAAACATTAGCTTCCACTTTTTTTGCATGTTTTTGTGAAATAAAAAAAAATTGCAAAAGCATTCGTTATATGTATATATAATATATACATATATTAAAATTGAAATATTACATTCTTAGGAAACATCAATATACAATGTAACATGGTTGGAGAACTGGTTGTGTTTCAAACGACGAGAAGGTTGTCTTTAAATATATTGATACCAATTCATACTACAATACAATACCTACCTCATGATTAGAGACGTCCGCAATTACAAACCTATTTATTAATTGATTCTACTTCTAGATATTCAGTAAATCGATGGCCGATGGATTGAAGTTATATATGACGCAAGGTACACCAAGACTTCAAGACTGTTTAGCAACAAGTCAATTTTGCTTAAAAATTAACAATATGTTCGACTCTTTGAATCGGAAAATTCCCGCCCACGGAGTACGGCCTGGTTCCAAAGACTATACAATTATTGAGGATTCCATTAGGTGGTTAAATGACTGGGAGGACAATTACAAATCGGGAAAAATTGATTCTTCCGAATTTTTAACAAAAAACACCGCTGAAGGACTGCGTGTGACTTTACATTCAGCCTTGGATCTTTGTGTATATGTCACAGAAAAATATTCTTTCTCGTATCTACTTACAGGCAAGATTAATCAAGACTCATTAGAGGTATAAAGAAATAAAAATATATAGTATATGCTTCAAACTTAAATTTGCAGGAATTTTTTGGGACTATTCGACTGGCTGGTGGTCAAAATGATCATCCTGCTACACCGACATTTCTACAGCTCTATAAATTATTATCAGTTTATTCTTTATTAAAACCACCGAAATATGGCAATTGCTCTGTAACAGAAGATAAAGCGCCGATTACGCTGTTAACATTAGAAGACATACGAACAGCCTATCAAGATAAACATCAAGAACCGCGTACCATCGACCATTTAAAAACTCGACTAAATGGATTAATTCATGAAACAGACTGGGAAATCGATGAAATTTTAGAGATCGATACCTCATTCGCCGAAATTAAGAACTGTGTCATATACTACGTCACTGGATATCTTTGTAAACAAATTAAAAAGTACACAAAGTGTTGTGTCTGCTTACAGAGTTTATCCAGTGATGATCAGTATTCACAGCATGCAGTAGCACAACTGACCAACCTAAAAACATATGGTGGATTAATTCACCCAAATATTATTTTTTTTTAAATGATCAAAAGTGTCGAGGAGGCATTTGCTTTGTTTGCAAACGATGCAGATGTTTTTCGTAAAACAATTGATTACATGTTGGATAATTATGTATTCGCTTTTCCATGTAAAGAACACGCAGAAGAAATAATGATCTCAATCCTCAAATACAACATTTGTATGAGAATGAGACAGTTTACCCGGGAAGAAAATAGAAAACAAAAAAATGATTGTGCTACAAAAAAGAAAATCGCAAAATATACTAAACATTAAAAAAAAACAAACTCATTCATACACGCAAAATTAGAATACATATCATTTTTATCACCTCATTACTTTCATAAACATATGTTTTTTTTTAATACATAGTAGTATTACTCACTTTCCAATGAAACCAACGTATTTTAAACTTTAACATCTCTAGAGAGTTTACCTTTATATATAGTCACACAGACAAAAAAAATCGGTTTAAATAAGCTATTTAGAGAGAATTTCCCTCGTCCCTGAAGTATAGGCGAAAAAATACAGACAAATTATAAACTTAGAATTTTGGGCACATCAATTTGAATATATGCAATTAATAATAACAGCATTGTATACTCAAATTTTCAGGAAAATGGGGCGAGCCGTTCTTGATATGATCAATAAAGTAGATTCTCATTCATTAATTTTTTGCGTCACCTGTATAAGTAATTCTAAAAAAAATGAATACATTGATAAACTACAAGTATAAATTCATAATGTTTTGCACATTTTAGATAAGGTTTATTTGGCAAAATTTTGCGATGACATTGGCAACTTTTTGGCGAAGGGATAAACGGATAAATTTTGATTAACGATTTAACCTTAAAACATTTACCAGATTTCAGAGCTACTGGCTTTACACTTTCAAAGTTGATTTACAAAATGTTATACAATTTTTTCCCCCCAAAAAAATGGACGTCTAGGGTAAAAAGTCAACACGGATTCATAAACCACAAGTATATGGGATCTTACTATACAAAATTTTAATAAGATCTACTATTCTAAACTGTGGAGATGGCATCATCCCGTTGTTGGTGCGGATGACTAGCTAAATTTTGGTTAACGTTTTACCATCTATATGATATTCCAAATATACATGTAATCTGCCTAATAAAAATCGATGTTTTTTATGTAACATTGAAATAAATTAATAAATTAACAATATTCATTGTAGAACATTACGTGTCATAATCATGAAAAATTATGACGCTTAAAAACTGTAGAATAAATAAAATTCATTCATTTCTACAAAGTTAAAGTCTAACACTCATAACGAAATTAAAACTTTTCTAAATCAATGAAAATTGAATCCGTACTGGAATGTTTATTTTTTTTTTTTATTAAAACAATCCTTCCAATGAAACATTTTTTATAATTGCATTTCTTCTAAAAACTAAATACATGAAATAGTTTCTTGTGCATAAATTATATGTAAATAAACTTTTGACATATATGTATTAAAAGTATTAACATTTTTGTTAATGTTGAATTTGTAAGTGTTTTTTTACTGACGCATATCAATAAATAAAATAAGCACCTGTCTTTTGTTCCTATAATACAAGTTTTACGTCTTCCCTTTATTTTCAACAAAGTTAAAGTCTCTGCAATCAACCTGGGATTTCCAGCCTTGTTGAATGTTCATTACAATAGTGTTCACTACAAACTTATTTTTAGGATTCTTTCAAATAACATTTTGAAACTACCTGTGAATAATAGTTTTTATTTCTCCCTTGTTTAATAATTTGCCTCTATCTCTTTAGATCTTCCTATAAGACTTAGTATGTACTGCAGGTTAAATCTTGGCCCAGCAATAATTGTACTCAAACAACGCTATCTGAAGTTAAAACTAGCATGATGGAGGATTTCTGCTTGCTTGTATGACTGTGCCTCACTCCTACAAACCATTGATCATCGATGCCTGTTAAGCATTGCTGAGACTTGGTGCTTTTCATTTTGTATGGTGCCATTACGACCCTATTTCCTTTCTGAAATGTGAGTGAGAAATGTTAGAGATAGAGGCAAGTAACTTGTGGCCTCTATTATGTAAATCATGTTTTAGTTACACATCAAGAAATGTCTAAATTTCCGTAAATCATACGTTCACTGCGAGTTATAGGAAGCAATAACGCTTAAAATAACAATCAAACCTGTGGTTGCTGGAGTTTGCTCTGTAAATGTACGCACCTCTCAGACTGGGTGACCTCATTAAAAACCATTAAACAGTAATTTCTACCAGTAAATTCATAATTTCAATAGTATTATCAACTCGCAAAGAACTAAAAAGTAAACATTATAAATTCTCACGTTGTGTACATATACACGGCCGTTGTACAAAAATCATACAAAAATAGAATGAGAGATGAATAACAGCCATCACAGCCATATTAGCACAATGACAGTTCTGGGAGTTGTCTACGGTTGTGGAAAATTTCATTCATTAAAATGTTAGTGTGTAATCGTAATTCACAGATGGCGAAACGATCTAAAGCGCGCCAAAGCCGCCTAGGACACCCAAATTTTATTCCACCAAATTTCCCATAGTGTACCAACCTTATATTCTACAGCCGTGGGAGGGATGAACAAATACATTTTGAACAAAAGTTTACCGTGCTTATAATAACTTTAAAATATCTCCAAGATTTCAAAGCATTCGGTTTTGTAATTCCTGATTAAATCGATAAAATAAATTCACGCATTCATTAATTTTTTTGTGTCACCCTGTATATGCAAATCCAAAAATATGAATGGAATGATAAATCACAAGTACAGACTCATTATATTTTGTACATTTTAGATAGGATTTATTCAGCAAAATTTTGGGGTGACGTCATCAATTTTTTAGGGGGGATGAGCAAATACATTTTGATAAAAAATTTACCATGCTTATAATAACTTTAAAACATCTCCAAGATTTCAAAGCATTCTGTTCGGTAAATCCTGATTAAACCAATAAAATAAATTCATGCATTCATTAGTTTTTTTGAGTCACCCTGCATATGCAAATCCAAAAATATGAATGGAGTGATAAATCACAAGTACAGACTCATCATATTTTGTACATTTTACATAGGATTTATTCAGCAAAATTTTGGAGTGACGTCATCAATTTTTTGGAGGGAAGAGCAAATACATTTTGATAAAAAATTTACCATGCTCATGATAACTTTAAAACATCTCCAAGATTTTAAAGCATTCGGTTCTGTAATTCCTGATTAAATCAATAAAATAAATTGACGCATTCATTAATTTTTTTCAGTCACCCTGTATATGCAAATCGAAAAAATATGAATGGAGTGAAAAATCACAAGCACAGACTCATCATATTTTTCACATTTTAGATAGGATTTATTTACCAAATTTTAGGGTGACGTCATCATTTTTTTTAGGAGGGGATGAGCAAATAAATTTTGATAAAAAATTTACCATGCTTATGATAACTTTAAAATATCTTCAGGATTTCACAGCATTCGGTTCTGTAATTCCTGATTAAATCAATAAAATAAATTCATGCATTCATTAATTTTTTTGAGTCACCCGGTATATGCAAATCCAAAAAATATGATTGGAATGATAAATTACAAGTACAGACTCATCATATTTTGTAGATTTTAGATAGGATTTATTCAGCAAAATTTTGGAGTGATGTCATCAATTTTTTAGGGGGGAAGAGCAAATATATTTTGATAAAAAATTTACCATGCTTATGGTAACTTTAAAACATCTCCAAGATTTCAAAGCATTCGATTCTGTAATTCCTGATTAAATCAATAAAATAAATTGACGCATTCATTAATTTTTTTCAGTCACCCTGTATTTCCAAATCGAAAAAATTTGAATGGAATGATAAATCACAAGAAGAGACTCACCATATTTTGTACATTTTAGATAAGATTTATTCAGCAAAATTTTGTGGTGACGTCATAAATTTTTTTGGAGGGACGACCAAATACATTTTGATCAAAAATTTACCATGCTTATGATAATTTTAAAACATCTTCAAGATTTCAAAGCATTCGGTTTTGTAGTTCCTGAGTAAATCAGTAAAATAAATTTTGCGCATTCATTAATTTTTTTGAGTCACCCTGTATATGCAAATCCAAAAAATATGAATGGAGTGATATATCACAAGTACAGACGCATCATATTTTGTACATTTTAGATAGGATTTCTTCGGCAAACTTTTGAGCTGACGTCATCAAGTTTTTGGAGAGGATAACCAAATATGTTTTGACTAAAGATTTATGATGCTCTTTAGAGCCTTAAAACATCTGCAACATTTTAAAACATTCGGGTTAGCAGATTCAAAATTAAATTGCAAAATGTTTTATAATTTTGATTTTTTTTCCAAAAATCTGGACGTTTCGGGTAAAAACTCAATTCGGGGTCGTAAACTACATGTGCAGGACTATGTTATTTTATACAATTTAAGACCCATTTACTATGTACAATTTTGAAGTGACGTCATCGCATTAGTGGTGGGGATGATTAGTGGGGATGATTAGACAAATTTTGGTTAGCGTTTGACCATCTACATGATATTCCTAATATAAGTACAAAATTTCAGAACAATCGGTCCGGTACTTTCGGAGATTATCTATCTAATAAAAATCCGGGACGGCAGACAGACGGACAGACGGACGGACAGACGGACAGACAGACGGAAATGGGAGACCTATTTCTTCGTCTTCTAGGGGTCATGAAAGATCGAGAAAACGTAAAAGTTGTTTACGCTCGGGAAGTAATAATCATCGAATTTCAAAAGGATTTGGTCTCAGGCCAAAGTAGGTGTATTTTGTGAGTTTTTTTTTTTTTTGTAATTATTTATGTTTGGTATGCAGTGAGAGCAATCTTGGTAGAAAATCGACCTGACCAAGGTGAATCGTTTGTCGATTCCATTCAAAAAATGTTAAAAGTAGAGCGACATATGGTATAAGAGGATGTTGCTTGGAACAAAATCGATACCGTATCTGCCGAGGAACGCTGCAGAACAAGTTACATGGGGCGTATAGTAAAAATCCGGGGCATCCCATGTTACTAAGTGAAGCTGAAGAAGCTGTTTTTGAAGAAATGCTAGTTTCATTGTCAGCCTACGGATTTCCCCTTGATATTCTGGATTTGCGATTAGTCGTTAAAGCTTATCTGGATCGTAAAGGAGTTACAATGAAGCAGATACCTGATAATACTCCTGGAGTTGACTGGCAAAAAATTTTGTAGCACGTCATGGTGCTTTGACTGAAAGGTTTGCAGAAAAAGAAGATGGAAAAAAACGCTTTTTGATTTTAACTGATTTTATTGGTTAGCAGAAATTGGTTACGTGTGATTTGTTTTTTGTGCATTTCATTTTATTAAGAATAAAATATTAGTCGCCGAAGGAGAGTTTTATTGTGATTGTGATTTGTAATGATTTGTTTAGCACAACTTCGGGAAAACTGGCTCACCGAAAGTTATGAAATGAAATCGTGTTTACGCAGGAATGATTACGTTTGTTGGAGAAAATAACCCGAAGTCGGCTACTGGTTTTCGAAATATTTTTACCTCTGCGGCCCGAAATCTACCAGAAACTGTATTTAGTTAAATTTCGAAAATCCTCGAAAATGGGTCGAAATTTACATAAAGAGAAAATTTCATTTTTGAAAAATCCTGAAAAAATTCAGTGTTATAGACCTTGACGCGCTGATTCCAAAAACATAACGTGTTGATGATAACAGAGCAATATTTTCGAAATATTCGATGTGTAATGCGAATTTTTTGTAATTTTTAAAACCAATTGATACCAGTAAGATCTAACAATCGGAATTCTCTGGAAACAGTCACAGAGAAATCTTATGTACCATGTGTTCATTGTCTGGGTTATTTTAAAACAACTTACTTGTGGAGACATAATAAAATTTGCAAATCAAAAATGTCAAAAGAACCGAATAAAAACTCCACAAAAATTGAACATCTGACAGAATCTCAAACTTTTATGGTTTCACCAGGATTACTTGGAAATTATCGCAATAAGAGTCGTCTCAAAAATGAAGTCTTTAACATTATGAGACCACATGAAATTAGTTTAGCTGCAAAGAGCGATGCATTAATTGTTGTAGTATCCAACAAACTACGGGAAATGGGAAATCTACAAGCATACAGCATTTAATCGATGCACTACAACCAGAAAATTATGAACAAATTCTTGCCGCAGCAAAAGTAATTAGCGGATATGACCCTGAAACAAAAACTTTTAAAGCGTCTTCTTTGGCACTTCACTTGGGTACAAACTTGAAGTTTCTTTGTGATATAGCGAGGAAAGCAATTATTACAAAAAATGTGTGTTTTCAAGAGCAATTAAAAAATTGAGAACAATATCTCAAAGGTATAAGTGAAATGATACAAAGTCACTGGTGTAATGATTTGTCAAGTTTAGCTAAGAAAGTCCTTACAGAATATAAAGCACAAAAACCGAAAATTTTACCTTTAACTGAAGACATACAAAAATTCAATTCCTATGTATCTTCACAAGCAGAAAAAGAGTTCGACAATTTGCAAAATGGTACAAATGTTGCTGAAAATTACAAAATACTGGCAGAATGTACATTGTCAATTGTACTTATTTTTAATAGAAAGCGTATAGAAGAATGCCTAAGTGCGTTAACAACACTAGAAAAAACAATGAGTGCAGCTTATAAAAAAATTGTTGTGCTTGGAAAAGGCATTCTGTTCACTAAGAAAATGCAAACATACATGGATTTGCTTTTAAAGATACGAAAATCAACGAATGTAGTTCCAAAAACTAATAACTATATCTTTACAAATGGAACAAATTGCCCGATTCATGGACCACACTGAAAAAACACACATGGAATTCTATAGGTAAATTCTAAAAGACAATAAATTTTATTCCTAATCACAGTTTGACTGAATTTAACAAGCTGTTCGGCTGTTTATTAATTATATTTCTGAGACACCTAGAACAACTTTTATAATCATGGAATTTGATTTTTTTAATAATTTTTTTTTATGCATTGTAAGAATAATAATTAATAATAAAAAAAAACTCACTTTAAATTATATCTCTTCTTTAGTTTGCTTGCTGAGCTAAACCTATTTAATTCAGTGTAGTTTTATTATGGTATTTAATGTATTCGATGCTTACAAGTATTTTTTTAATGGTCATTTTAGACTATCTGACGACATTTACCAAACGGCAAAAGTGGCAAAAGTGTTATTTTTGTTAAATGCTGGCAAAGGCGCGGAGTTTAAAGGTAAGAGTTTAAAAGACATTGAAGTGGTAGATGACGAAGTGGAAGTAGAAGCAGAAGAATCTGAATGTCAGACTCACAAAACATTAAATAAAGATCAACATGAAGAAGAGGATAGCGAGAAGACTGAAATTGAAGATGACGGAGAAATTACCAAAAAATGAACAA